GCACAGGGCTCTTACTGGTCAAGTTAGCACATGAAGATGCATGACTGATTGCCATTTTGCCTTTCCTCAAAAGGAAAAGTGTGTGAACATATACTGATTCCTGGGCATATCAAAAAGATGAAAAATAGTCTGTGGGGTTATGTGGAAGACTGAAATTTCCTTCATTCCTCCAAGTTGAGTGAAAGAGAAATGTATTGAGAGCTTCCTTTTCTATTCCTTATCTTTTTTTTTTTTAATGTATTGAGTACAGGGTCTACAGGATCTCACTACTAGATCAGATTCTCAGTGATCCTTCTGTTTTCAGCCTCCCAAGTGCTAGGATTACAGGCATGAGCCACCACACCCAGTCTTAATCGCCATCCCAGTGTGTCCAAGGTGCGGGGGCCTGCATGGCATGTGGTGCCAGGGATCGAACCCCGATCCTTGCACTCTGTCTAAGCAGGTGCTTTAGTCCACTGAGCTAAAGCCCTTCTAGTTCTTTATCTTTCAAATTCCTGTCTTCCACATTTGCTTTCCTAGTTTTCCTTTCTGCCCATATCTTTTTTTTTAAAACTCTTCTGATAGTCGTAACTCCTCTATGCATTTCTAATTCTTCTTGTTATTTTCCCCTTGCTTGTTTTGGTCCATTATTCCTTTTCTCCTCCCTTTCATTTTTCCTTGATTAAAGTAAGGATGTGAGCTCTGCCAGCAGATTTCTGGCCTTCACCCTCACTTTATCCCTTTTCTGGTATATGATCTTGAGTAAATTTCTGAACTCTGCTGTATCAAAATGACTCCATTCACAATGGAAAAATACAATATTATTGACTTCAGTTTTATTGTTAAATTTAAATAAGACCATGTACAATATTCAGCATAAGCTTGGCACTTACAACATTTGACATACTGTCCTTAAAGTTTATATTCCCCTTTGTAAACTATCTTCTCCCTCTAAGGATCACTTTTATGTCTATAACATATTTTAGAAATAAAGCAGTCTCTGATCACAGCTCTCCTTTGGCTCTTTCCATGTAAAATCGAAGCACTGCATTCTAAAGCTAATTGCATCCCAGTTTGTTTAATGTTTCTCCTATTCTATATCACAAAAAAGACAAATTTTATTTTTTGTTTCATGTCATATTTCCATGTGACATGAATATGTTAAAGAAGTAAAACAGTACACATTAAAAAAATAGGTGATTCACTTGGCTGTTTCACAGCTTAATAAGCTAAGAAAAATGGAAAATGGTGCAAACCTATAATCCCAGCACTCTGAGAGGCTGAGGTTCAGCAGAGGCTGAGCAGAAGGCTGGCAAGTCTGAGCCAAATCTAGGCAACTCTCTGTCTTTGAGAAACACTGACAAAATATAAAAACAGCTATAGAGATAACTCACTGTGAAAGTCCTGCATTGATGTTGATTAAACAAACAAACAAACATAAATAACATAAGCAGACTTGTTTGTTTTTTGGGGGGGTTGTTTTGTTTTGGTTTTGCTTGTATTTTTAAGGGAGTTTCTACAGGGTGTTCAGGGTTTCACTACTAGATCGGACTTGTAGTGATTCTCCTGTGTACAGCCTCCCATGAGCTGGGATTACAGGCACGCACCACCATGCCCAGTCTCAATTGCCATCTCAGCATGCCCCAGGTTGGGGGGGGGGGGCAGCAAGGCAGACCAGAGGATCAACCCCCAGATTCGTATTTTGAATACAGCCATCCAATTAAATGAACAGTTTAAATTTTACACACTGTTTTTGAGTCAGGCACACCACACAAGCCAATTTGTCTGAGTAGCTTTGCTATGATGAATTTGATGCCCTCAGTTCATTGGCTTGAATTGATTTGTCCTTGAATGTAGCTCTTTCTCTTCCGTTCCCTTCCTTCTTTGCTCCACTTTCATCCCTTTGTCATCTCTTTTCTAACTGTAAAAACCTAAGCAACAATAATATGGGGTTTTGTATCTGTGTATTCAAAGTGGTTAGGATAGATACATAGTTACATTCTCTTAATAGGGTGATTTGTTCTAATGGTGTTTGTAGATAGGATATCATGTCTGCATCTTGTACAGCAATTAACCACGGGGAGGAATGTATGCAAAGTGTTAATTACTGAAACTGTCCTACCAATTTGATTTGAAGCTGTCTCATTGCTATTTTTTATCAATAAAATTATGGGAAAAAAAGAAGTAAAGCCATGCTGTTATATTGAGCTGTAGGGGACTCAGGTCAACAATTTCTGACATTGCCAGTCAAGCGGAAGACCCAATACTATTATGGACTACTGGACTCTTTTAGAATATTTTGCTGAGTTTATACAACTATAATATTCAAATAATGGAACTTAACAAAAAAGGGGGGGATATAGATGAATGTCCATTTTGTATCTGTGTATTCAAAGTGGTTAGGATAGATATATAGGTACATTCTCTTAATGAATAGAGGGATTTGTTCTAATGGTGTTTGAAAATAGGATATCATGTCTGCATCTTGTACAGCAATTAAACACTAGGAAGAATGTTAGCAATGTGTTAATTATTGAAACTGTCCTACCAATTTGATTTGAAACTGTCTCGTTGCTATTTGTCTCAATAAAATTATGGAAAAAATGAAATAAAATTTTTAAAAAATAAAAAAATAGTAATAATAATATGAGGTGTCAGAATGCAGCCTGAGGTGTCTTGGGTTGTGGAATACCCCCTAACAGGCCAGGATTTTAATTGCCAACATTGTGAGTGAATCCTCTTAAATCCACACTCTGGCCTCTCCCTCCAAAGCAAATGCCAAGGGCAAAGCACAGCAGTTCAGAGCAGTCTGCATTACTCAGGATAAGCAATGCTTTGCTACAACAGCCCAGTCTCATAAACAGATCACTCACACCAGAGGGGCTTTATGTCATCCCCTTCAGATCCTGAGGAAGCCCACGAGGCTTATTTTCACCTAGAACAGCACCAGCTGGAGCACATAGCTCCAAAGTGGTCTTATAAGGCCAAGAGAAAAATGGAGAATGCATTTGCCTTTATCCTTGATCACATCTCTCTCAGTGACCCTCTGCTCCTTGCCCTTCAGCCGGTGGACATTCCGTGTACGCTCATGTCTATGCCATGACCTCAGGAGGCCAGGCCACCTATGTGGTTTTCTTAAAGGAGATGATCTGTGGTTTTAAACAGATCTTTAAAAGGATCAGTTACTCAAAAATGTTTAAAATGTAGCTCAGTGGTGGGCTGGGAATATAGCTCAGTGGTATAGCACCTGCCTGGCAAGTGCAAGGTCCTGAGTTCAATCCCTGGTACCAGGAAAAAAAATCTGCTCTCCCTAGCACTCTAATCATGACTCTTACAATGCAGAGGGAAGATTCAGGAAATGGGGAGGAGGGGGCTTTCATGACATGTTAGACTGAGTGCCCATGACTTCAGATATAAACATTTTGCAACTCATTTCAATGGAACAGAATTAGTGAAAGAGAACAAAAGACTTTGAGTTACTTGGGAGGGATTTTTCTCTTAGATATCTACAGTCCTCTTCATTCTCTCAATTTTTCTCTGCTCCATCTTCTCTCAGTGGGCAGGAGATTGGAAGTAGATGAGCAGCTGCTCAGGAAGATGAAGCCTGTCCCTTAAAAACTCATCAAGGACCTTCAAGCTGAACACTGCATCTGTTTGAGAAGTCTCTGATGCTAAGCCTGCCTTCATTCTTTGAGTAGAAGCAGGCACAGCCACAGCAGGGACTGAAGCGTAAACAGTGTCCCATTCCTGCTTTCTTTTCCTAGAATTAGTTGGCATGGAGGGGACAGAAGACTTGGTGTGAATCATTTCCTAAAGCCACCCAATACCCTGCTGTTTCTCATAATGTATCTCTGTGGATCATTAATGTGCTTCCAAGCAGGTAGTTTTGTATGAAGCATTTATTAATGCTCATGGTTAAGATAGGTGTGCTCACTGGAAGCAGCATCTTTGAGGCCTACAAAGCACATGACAGGAGCATGCATATGCAGATGGAGCAGGTATTCTGTCCACTGACTATGGGCAGGCAAACTCACCATATCAAATGGTGATTAACCCACAGGAAAATACAATTGACGAACACACTCAAAAAAGTATTACATAAAATAATTTACTTCTCATTCAGAATGGCCTTCCAGACCTATTTATGAGACAGCAGTCTGTGAGTACAGGTACAATGTGCAAATCATGACGATTTACTAGGGCAAGACCAAGGAGTTGTACACGTGGATCCTGGACTTGGCTACAGACATGACGTGTGACTGTGTATAGAGGAAAAGGGACACTGCTGGAGAACTCCAGGGACATTAAGAGCAAAACTTCCAGAAGTACAAGAACGAATAGAAAACCTATATCTTTAACACAGTGGGATTTGCATACACACACGCCGGCATCTTCATTTTACACCCCAGTATGCGACTTAAAAACCACGAAAGTGCCATTCATGTAAATTATCCTGGAGCAATGGATGCAGTGTGTGTGTGTGTGTGTGTGTGTGTGTGTGTGTGTGTGTGTGGTGGGGGTGGTGCATGGGTGTGTGTGTGCACATTTGGACAGGCAACAGTTTTAAAAGAATGAGAAGAAAATTACTTTCTAGGCATTCATTAGTAATTTAGATAAGATCCTGTACCTTCATTTATAAAACAATACAATAATAAAAACATTGTAAAAAACACCATAAATAACATAAATGAGACATTTTCAAGTATTTCATGTGCCTTGAAAAGTTTCAAACAGTAGTTCTAATAATTAGTATTCCTTTTTTTCTTTTCTTCTTTTTCCTTCCCTTTTCCTCCTCCTCTCTCTCCTTTAATCTCAGAGTCTGAAAGAAATGGCTACTTTCTATGTTCAGCCTTGATGGTTGGGATAGAACAAATAAGATTTTGTCTTGAAAGAGAAAAACTTAAAGGGGATTTTTTTTTTTTCTTTTGGTGGAACCAGGGATTGAACTCAGGCCCATGCACTTGCCAGGGAAGTGCTTATTCCACTGAGCCATCTCCCCGGCCCCCTAGAGGGGATTTTCATTTCACTAAAAACAAACTTTTCCTGCTGTAGGTTTCTCACAGAGGCATGTAACCTAGAACCATTACTGGGGAAAACAGCCCCTCACAATGAACTAAGGTGCTTAAGTTTCTCACACAAAAAAGAAGAGCACCTCAATCAAGAAATGAGTGAAAGGACAGAGGATAAAACTAATGACCTCTAAATTCTGAGCCCTCAATCAGCATGTAGCTTACAGTGGGGTTATCCAGCAAGCCATACCTACACTCCTTCCTGCAGCTCAAGCATCCCATCTCCAACTCCAGACCCATCCAGCCACCAATAAGCACGGCATGAGCACCCAGGCAGAGAAGGGACAGCCAACAGATTAGCATCTCAAAAGTGCTCTTAGTGGTAACTGGTACAATACAGCTCAGTGGCAGTTAGATACATAATTTTTTACAGTATCTCTTATAATAGTGCTCAACATGGAGACCCTCTGTGGTAATTTAAACACAAGGTCTCCTAAATTCACCTCCAGAAAGCTTCATGGATTCTTCCAGGACCAACTTTCCACACGTTAGCATTCCTCTCTCAGCCTGCATGGCAGTTAGCTCCCCTTCCCCTGTTCAAATGCAGTTCAAACTTCAGAACCTCCATTCAAGTACATCTACATACTCTAGTTTGAGCACCTGGGGTCTTTCCCATCTACTCTTGCAGAACACACACACACATGTAAATAAATAAGCACATATAAATATATACAGAATGTACATGTATATATTATATATATTTAATATATACACATGCACACACTTGTGTATAATAGATCAACCTCGCCTAAGCACAGAGAATCTGCAGCAAATTCTGGCTAACAGAAAGCATGTGCATGTGGGTGTCACAGAAGTGTACCAACCAGCCCACCTGAGGGCAAGTAGCTGGGAGGGGTGCACTACCAACGATCTTTAAATCCAGACCTACAAGCAAGGCCATTATCTGGATACTCGCTCCCATGACAGCCTCGAGATACTTGGACAAACTGGATCAGAATGGGGTCCCGCCCTGCTGGATACACAAACCCTTTAACTAAATCTTGCTCTTACATACAAGTGGCTCCCAGGCAGCATGAACACTAGGCTACAATGTGAGTAAAGCACTGTGCTTAATACAGATCAGTATTTGGCCTCAGGTTTTCCAGAGCATAGAGTCTTGGGGTTTCAGCCCTCTGCCTCCAAGTGAGACTTAAGCACACTGGGGAAGCAGAGATGGACAGTTTGCAGAGCTCTTGGATCCCTTCTGCTTCTCTGCTCCACAGCTGGGAGGATTGACCAGATCAAGGTAAAATGGAGACTTGAGGAAGCGGCGGTATGAATCCTTTTCCATAAGATGGAAAATCTTCTTCTGAGCCTCATCAAAGCAGGTAATCGTAGGCTCCAGCATATTCCGGCTTGTCTCCTCCCTGGTGCAAGAATCTAGGTTCACCTGTGGGGCAAAGACCAAGGCTTTGTGAGATCTATGACCCAGCCGAGGGTGGGATTCTGCAGGCTTTGTACTGGCCAAGTAAGCACTGCGCATGCTCCACATCCAGGAATGCCAGGAAGGATGTTTGGTTCCGTCCTGGTATTGGTGAGAGAGCACAAAAGGTTCATTTTGCTCCACAGTTGGGAGAAAAATTTCTTTTTATTCTACCGTACTTAGGGAGATTTGTTGGGAAGGCTCACTAAGAGAGGTCACCTAGATTACAGAGATTGAAAAAGAACTTTTCTTAGTGTATGGTTTTGGGAGCATCAAGATTGTAACAGCCTACTTCAATTTTCACTTCACCGCATATGATCTAAAGTTCCTGTGACACTGAATACCACTCTAGGAACCTACAGTATGACCTGGAGATTTCCCTGCCTTGAAAACGTACCTCTTTAGTTGCTTGGACTGAGATGAATTCATTATAGATCTTTTTGGCTTTGGGACTTAGTTTAGAGGGTGACTTGATTTTCTTGTATTCTTCACAACTGATCCAGAAGTCAATATTCTCCTCACTGTATTCAGACCTTAAGAAAGCTTTGAAAGCTGCCAGCCCACCTGCAACACAAGAGAAAGAACACAGTTGTTATTAGACACTGTGTTTCCCAACAGACCAACATAAAATGAGACAATTTGTGTTACTTTGAGAGTAGGGGATTGTGGGGCAGGGGACTTACATTCATGACTAATCAGGTTTTCCAGTGATTCACCCCATTTCTTGACTTCTTCTTGGCTTACTCTGGAGACATGAAAGAGAAAAATAATGTGAATGTTACCATGTGTAGAACAAGGACCAGAAAACTAAGATCTTGAATAAAAGGCAGAAATTTTATCTTCCATCATTATGATAAGATAAATCGTTTAAGATAGTGTTATATTTAAATACATGGAAATTTTCATTCTAGTATGACCTCCGTGAAAACAGAGGTCAGCTTGATTCGTATCTAATTCAATTGGTGGCATGACTATCTATTCTCTTCATAGAGCCTACCTATCATCAGATAGCAGAATAAAACATTACCAAGGCCTTATCTCTTACCTCTGGCAAATAACCACTTTGTCCTTTTTGCTATGGGAAGAATTATGTTCACAGGAATCAGATTTTTGCAACAGAAAACCTAGCCGATGTTTCATATCTTTTGCACTGCAAAGAAAGAGAAAAAAAGAGATAATTAATAACCAGAGATAATCAGTTTTTCTAAAAGCTACCTTCATGGTAAACCTTAAAAAATCCTTTGACAATGTACAATTTCTACAGGCAATGGGAGCTGAACTCTCTGGAGAAAAAAGATTCTTCTTTTGCTTCTGTCTGTGACTTATGACAAGACCATAAACCAGTTAAAATTCGAGTTCCTTTACCTGCAAGTGCAATTCCACACTATGAGTCTACCTCAGAAATCTCTTTTGTATACCCACTGTTTTGATCTGATAGAACCTTTGGTATCCCCAGCGGAACCACTTTGAATACATGACTATTTCTTGAGTCATATTTAAAAATTTAAAGCAAGCCCCAAATGCAAACTATGGCACCTGCCTGCCTCACGCCACCTTCTGGCATATGCCTGCTATTGCTCTCTGGCTCCTCAAATGCACAAAGGACCCTGCTTCCGGCTCAGGAAAATCAAGATCTGTGAGACTGCAGCCTAGCATAAGAGAGGCCAAGCAATCCTTCTGTGGGGTGTAAATGGAGTGTATCCTGAAGCTGAAGCAACTGCTGATGGAAAAAGACAAGCAGGTGGCAGACGTCAATACTCAGTCAGAAATCTGAGGTCTTTTATGCTTGTTTATACAATCTGCAGGTCTGCCTTCCTTTTAAAAGCTACACTCCAAGAAGATGTGCACACTAGCAAAGAAAGGCCTTTGCAGCATTGGAACAAGAATAAGAAGCAGTCCAGAGTGGTCACAGCGTGGGTGATAGTTTTGAGGAGAGTTTTCAATCAGTGTCACACTTGGCTAGGTAGCCAGGGTACAGCGGGGGTCCTGACTCACTTGAAAAGGAGGACCTTATAGCAAACTTTCAGCTCCCCTCTCTCACCTTGTAGTTCTTTGTTGTTTATAGGTTTATCATAAAATACAGTGATTTTAAAAAGAGAAAAGGAATTTTGAAAAGGAATAACTAGATATTCCTATGCAGTGTGTGGGGAGATAAGAGACCTAAGGGCAAAAAGACATTCAGTCTCACTAGTGGCTAATCTATGTGGATTTGCTCAGGATGTCTGGATTCTGTTGCATTCTTAGCCTGCCCTTTAAATAGTATTTTCTGTCCCATGACACTGTTGTTTTCCTTTGTTCCCCAACGAGTGGTGGGTCAGAGGACCCCGAATCACCTCAGTAATCACTAGCTATCACCTTGAAGTGAAGCTACAGTGACTCCAAGGTGATGATGTAAGTATATTGTGATTCAGGCCACTTAAAAATAGTCACATCTCATGTGCTACTTCTACCTGGGATCCAGCAATTACTGACCAAAGCAGGGTCATTTCAGGAACTGGAGGCAAGCCTAGCAATACCGTTGTAATATAAAAGAAACTTGAAAATAAAAATCCAAATGATTTTAGGATTTATGAGAGACAAGACTTGGCCCTCACTCTGTACCCATGATCCATGTGACCTTGAGCAGTTAAGATCCCTCCAGTGCTCACACCCTTATGGTGAAGCGGTGGACCAGTAATTTACAGGCTAAGGTGCAGGGAGACAGGGAAGGGCAACACACAGTGGCCTCCTTGGTTAGCTACTTAATTAATTCTTCCAGGGCAGGGTTCTAATGCAATCTCTCAGCTGCTCCCAAAGTATTTATAGAGCAAAACTTTCTCCTAGCATTCCTATATTTTACATGGTTACCTTATATGCAATTTAACCAAAACTGGAGTAATTTGCTCTGCCAATTCAGGAAATGCACGGTGAGGGTGAGAGGCACTTTTTTCCTCCTCTTCTGCCAGACCCTCCTGATTCGTTTGAAAGAAACCATTAACACTTTCAGCCTCCCAGGTGGCAGAATATAGGCAGGGGAAACTTCTCAGCAACACCCAAGAGACTATGCACTCTACAATTCTGTTCAAATTAAAATGTAAAGTGATTTCTATTTGTAGCTGAACTATAAGATTAAGTAATGTAATCTCCAATTCCCTTGTATTTCCTTTCCAATTCATCAATATATGAGCATTCTAGGTAAGTAGCTATAACTCTTTAAGATTCTCTTTTAAATCAGGAATATATTAAGAGCAACATCTTTAAGATGAGCTCATCTATAAAGCCATTCACTGATTTGGTATGATCAATACTTTTCACCTGCAACTCGTATAGACACTTCAAAATAATCAGAAGTAGCACAGAGAGCAGGGATGTCCGGCTTCGAAACTTGTGTTTCATTGTCACACTTGCTTAGAAAAACACAGACTGAAGGACATTGCAGCACTGCATAGAAAACCCAGTGCTTTTCCGATCATGTCGCCAAGCCTCCGTCTGGGATACCTTCTTTTGAATGATATCTAATATACATGATCGGACAGCACAGAGCTGTGATTCCTTGTACCCAAGTGATGCACAAATCGCAATGTTAATCCTAGACAAAGGCGGAACCACACAGCAGCCCCAAACTCCAAATTACTTCTTAATTCAAACTTCCTGATTTCAAGCACCTGTCTTTAAGGTCAAAACTGTAATCATGTAAAATACACAAGTACCAAAATTTGGGGAGCAAACTTCCCAAGCTACAATATCTAGCTCTTCCGAGAGGAGATAGATGCTGTTGATCTCTTGATCATATTGTTTTTGATTTCAAACAACCAGTTTAGTACTACCATATGCAAGCAATTGACAAAGTCTCTCCAAAACTTTAACATGGTCACTGGCTAAAAAGTCTCACCTCTTTAGGCAGGAAGCCGGCAGACCAGCAAGTCCTTTGCACATCTTGCTGAGTGATGGTATTCGCAGGTAGGAGAGAAATGCAGCAGAAGGAGCTGTAGTCTCTATTTTGAGCGCACGCTCGCTGCCTCTTTTCCGCAAAGATGCTGTCAGAATCCTCTGAGCGGCTCCCTCCCAAGCCTGCAGAGGTCTCTTTTATAGCCCAGACACGTTCATCCAGCCAATCAGATGGCAGCTCTGCAAGCTCCGCTCCTCTGTGTCCCGCAGCTCCTCCAGCCTATGGAAGAGATCAGGAAAAAAAGACTGACGCATCTCCCATGCAAAGCGGCCAAGCGGAGAAAATCCTCTTGCAAAGTAGGCAGAGAGAAAATAAAAGTGTTTTTGGCTTTTCTACCAGTGTGTGGGGCTCCTCTGAATTTCTAGGGAACAGGGGATCTAAAGTGCTACACAATGTGGGATTTGTTCATTCATCTGTTAAAATTCAGGAAAGTTGCATCCTGGAAGGAAAGATGCTGGCAGGTAATCTGGGACATCTTTATTTTGAGGCTGATTGCCAACACACTTCCTCTTTCACATTAGAAGTATGATATTCTACATGGTCTGATGTCTGATGCTCACTATTTCCAAATGGGACTTGGTAGGATCATAGTTTCCCAGGCAGTGACTTATAGAACTTGATTTCCTGGTTATTAAGCTCACGGGCCCCTGAGGACAAATACCTGGGTGGATGATTGGTAAATGCCCTGTAGCATAGACATCCTAGCCTACGGAAAATAGATTCCCAACCTTGTAGTCAACTTGACTGTGAAATGCATTTCTAGGAATCCTGCTAAGGACAGGAGTCAGCCCAGCACCAAAACTCTTTCCAGTATGTACTTACTCTCTACAGGAAGACTCACACACAGCTTGGGGCCAAGAGATGAGAGAAGAACAAAGGTAGCCACTAACTGGTATTGGTAAGTGGGCTTGCACTTTGTGTGACTCTAGGTCTTCAAACTGGTACTTGAAAGAAGAAAGAAAAACAGAAAGATGATGATGATGATGATGATGATGATGATGATGATGATGATAGAGAGAGAGAGAGAGACAGAGACAGAGACAGAGACAGAGAGACAGAGACAGAGACTCATATAATTTGCCTTTTATATCCTTATTCTCCATTAAGCTATTCAGGCCTGCAAGTGCTTCTGAATATCTGGACAATCAATACATTTTGCATGCAATATCATGAATATATTAAAGATTCATACAAGTGTTTCACATTTTATAGTTGTAGCTCAAATACCCACATCAGAGTTACTGAGGAATCCTCTTTAACTGGAAAGCTGTGACTGGGAAGAGAAAAATTAATGGCTATGTCTGATCATAAAAGCTTTTATTTGAAAAGCAGATAGGTTCCTAATCATAGGCTATAGTGAGACATGCTTTTTATATAAGAAATAGAAATGTTAATGATTTAGGCAGAGAAGCAGAAACACATGGATTCCAGTGAAAGCCATAGACACCAAGATTCTAGAAAGAAAATGGTGAAAAGCAAGTATCTGTGTGTGCCTCCCTATACATTCATGTCGCAAATGTTCCATACTGCCTCCTTCTGCTCAAGGGAGCTTCCCCATCTTCTTCTAGAGAAAGGAGGATAGACAGACAGACTGACTGACTGACTGACTGACTGACTGACTGACTGACAGACAGATAGATTAACAGATTTAAAAAGATGAGAGGACTGTAATCTTCAAATGATGGAGTTAAATCATGGGAGAAAGTCCTTACCCTTTCCCTTGAAGACAGGAAAACCCTTATTAGATTGACCACTGAGTGACTCCCTTGAGTTATAACGTGGAACAAGTGAGAGTTGGCAGTCGTCCTTGGAAATGTTGCAGAAGATACTGCAGGACAATATGAAATGTAAGAGGCCACCAGAACAGGGAAGGTAGACCCTGTGGGGAGCTCAAGCAGGCACAGCTGGCATCAAAGCAGAGAGACTTCTTAAAAAGGGGAGAAGGCTACACGAAGATGGGCCAGGGCCCTCTTTGCTTACATAGGCACCAAAAAAATAATTGCTCAAATCGTTGAAGTTTAGAAACAAGAGAAAAGACCCAAAGGATTTACTGATGTGATGCTTGGGAGAACCAGGACAAGGATCTATGTCTTGGACCTAGAAAAAGAGAATTCTGATTTACCCTGAGTTAAATATAAGTCATTACAGTACATGAGCTGAATGGACTCTACAAAATAATCTACCAAAATCTATCTTCACCTTACCAAAAACAAAGTAGAGACCCAGAGAAGGAAAGCGAATTGCCCAGGTCACAGCTTCTCTTGGACAAAGCTGCATCCAGACCCAGGTTTCTTGTTACCGAAATAGGCAGATTTTCCATTTTGCTTTCCCGTCACTCAACAGTCTTATCAAATGAGATAAACTGTGTAAACAAAGATATTTCTAAACTGCAAAGTGCTGGACAAACAATTTTTATTGTTAGGTACGACACAGTTCAGCACAAAACCCAGTGTTAATTTTCTGCGTTTTCTTCAAGGTGCTCCCACACTACGCAGTCTTCTCTGGGTCTATGAAGGTGGAAACTGTGGCAGATCTCACTGCTCTGGTTCTTGGCTAAGCCAGGACATTTTAGTCCCACTCTGTTCATGTGTTTTTCTATTCATTTTCTTTTTTGGACTATGATTTCTTGCTTGCAAGATTTTGAAACTTTTGGAATCTGCTTGAAAAAGCATCTCAAAAATTAACTTTTTTCTCATGGCAGGATTTGCTGATTGTGTTGAGGAGGCGAGGACGGGTACATCATGATCCCTTGACAGCATCCCACCTTCCTTCTGAGATGCACAAAACATCAATTCTATTATGCTGCAGTTTGTCACTCTTGGGTGATGCGCATAGTGTGGAAAAGCTTAGTTTCAAAAGATCTGTTTGTATCTGTCATTTGGTTAAGGCATATATTTTGAGCACCTGCTGTGCAGTAGGTACTTTTTGAAAGGTGCATTTAGTGTGGTAAAGCAGACAAGGTCTCCAGCCTAATGAAACTCTTGGAAGGCAGAATCAGAAAATATACTGTAAATAAGTTAAATCCAGATGTTCATCTATACCGTGAGGAAAACAGGTAAGGGGTATGATAAAGCGTAACTGGATGAGCAGCATATGCACCTGCTAGGCAAGCATAAGGTCCTGAGTTCGATCCCCAGTACCAAAAAAAACAAGTAACTGGCTGGTGAAGTGTTCAGCATTCACCAAGGTGATCAGAAAAGTCTTCCTTGAAGAGATGGTATCCGAGAGTTGACAGGTGAGAAAATCAAACAAAGCAAGAAATGTAGAAAGTAATAGTGCAAATAAAAGCTCAAATGAAGATGTCCTTTACTTAAGTTAGAAAAGAATCTGTGGTTGGGATGCAGCAGGATGTCTGGAGTACTAGGAGCAAAGGTGGAGCAGCAGTAGCATGTCAAGGAGGTCATATGTGCCAAGGAAGTGCCGGCTGTGATGAAGAGACTGGATCTAACCAAAGGGTGGCAGAAATCCACGGAATCACCTACACAGTGGAGGGGCATGGTCTGTGATCATGCTGGCTATCACAGATGAAAGGATTGAGGTGCAAGGGCAGGAATATGGAAGCAAAAAGACCAGTTGTAGTGTTAGTTTGAACCTTAGTTCATTTGTTCATTCATTGCAGCACGGAAAGTGATCTCACAAAGAAGGATTTATTAGACACTAGAAGACATGCTGCTAGGCCCTGGGAAGCTAAGTGGTTTGTGTTTTTCCAGAGTATACCCACTGATGGAGGAAAAGGTTGAATAACTGGAAAACACCAGTCTGAGTGCCATTATTGGAAAATTAGAGAATGGAGAATATATTTAACCTTTGGAATTAGGAGACTATTATACGATGAATAGAAATGTAGTCATTGAACAAAGAAACCAAGAGCATTACCATACAGGCTACCATAATTACTATTTTTCTTGTGCATTAGTTGTACAAGGCATGGTTTTAAGCACTGTCTATTGATTCATCCAATCACTGTCCACAATCAATCCTGAGAAAATGATTCACATTTTGTTGATGAGACATAGAAGGTTTAAGTAACTTCACAGTTACACATCTAATGGATGGTGACCCTTTGCTAGTTCAGGCGGTGATTACAAGGTTTCCCCTATTCATCTTTGTTATCATCGCCATTAAGGATGAAAGAAAGTCGGCTGTTGGGAGACTGTTTAGCATGATTGCAGCATTGAGGGAGAAGCAGAGAGAAAATAAACAAGGCTGCACAGACACTCTGAAAACCAAAGAATGTTTTCTGTTACATCTTTAAAGGTCAGAATTTATACTGTAACTGGTAGAGCATGTGGGCTAGTCACACTATTTAAGCTGATTAGTGCTCTAGAAAGAGAACTTGGGAAAAAGGATGAGAGTAGTCTGAATGTGCGAGAAACTGACCAAAAGTTTTAAGACTATTACAATAGGCCATGTGAAGTGTGATGAAAATGTCAAGCAAGGTTACAGTGAGAATCAAATGAAGGAACAGACATAAAAAAAGCTCCTTTCTATTCTGTGGGGAAAACACTTCTCAAGCACATTTGGGATCTCATACAAAGAAATAAGACATGGCAGCAAGAAGGGGCTCTTTTGCTTTAAAAGGGGCATCATGTCTTCACTTGGGAGGATGTGAGTCCAAAGGCAGGCAGCCTTAGATGATATTTGCACTTTCTCAGGTGACAGGTTTCTCTCTGCTGTTTGAAGGCTTTCTCCCTCTTTATTGTTACTAGTGTCCTAGAGGTCAGGAAAAGATCACAGTTACTGATTTTAAGGATAAAAAGCAAATATACCAGGCTGGATGGTGCTGTATACCAGGAATAAAATAAAAATCTTTCCAGTATGTCTGAATTTTGGGTAAATGTGTCTTTGTCTGCATCAGGCTTTGTAGGCACCTCCAGGAAGCCAGGGAATCCAGCCCTGGCACTTGAGAACTGCGGGTGATGTACCGCTTGATTGCACTGGAAGGACAGTAACACAATTAACGTGGTCAGGGAGATCATGCCCAAGAAGTAGGGGAAGAATCAAATTATCCCTGTCCCAAAGATTCAATCTTCCTTCTGCAGAGCTTAGCCCAAGATAGAAACGGCAGTTTCATAAGAAGAGTTCATTTGC